TTCATTGATTCATTGATTGATTGATTGATTGATTTATCCAAGAACTATTTCCATGCCTATCTTCCACTATTCTCCTACGTATGCTCTTTTCTCCAAGCAATTTGCCACTTGGTGTAGTGGATAGAATATTGACTTTGGAAACAACATATTTAGATCATAATCTTGGCTCTATTCCTCACTCATTGTGGAACCTTGGTCACACAGTTCCCTCTTTTGGAAAAGAAAAGACTTTAGCTAGATGGTTTTTCATCTATCTTTTAGCTCTAAATCCTACAATTCTAAGCAGTTTCACCAAAAGCATGCAATATTTTACTTCCTCTATGTTTTTTTTTCTTATGATAACTCTCTTTCCTTATTTATCCCCCTCCTGCTGTCTCTGCTTTCTGTAATCTTAACCATCCTCCAATCTCTTACAGTTGAATGGGGCAGTAGATAGAACGCCAAACCCTAAGTCAGAAAGACTCATCATCCTGTGTTCAAATCTGGCTAAAAAACACTTACTATCGCCATAACTCTGAGTGAGTCACTTAACCCTGTTTACCTCAGTTCTTCATCTATAAAATGAGCTGAAGAAGGAAATGGCAAAATACTCGAGTGTCTCTATCAAGAAAACCCCAAAAGGGGTCTCAAAAAATATGACATGACTGCAGGAACTGAACAGAGTTGGACGAGGCCTCAATGACTCAATTCAGTTCTTTCCACTTTGTTTCTTCTAGTAGTGATGATAGGACCAGCTCAAACGTCTACTCTCCCTGTTGTCACCAGGAAAGTATAAGACCCTTAGCTTCTTACTTCCAGGAAAGAATGGTTTATGCCACTGTTACAATAGGCTGTCCCATAATTCCTTTTCTGCCCCTATCCCTAAGTGATTTAATGATAATAGTGCTTTCCTCTGGCCTCCTCAAGCTCTCCCTGACTCTTGTTCTCTTTAGCTTTCTGGCTAACGGTTTGCAAGGTGCTAAAGGATTAGTAGGTGAAGAATAGGGACCCAGATGTGGCTTCTATTCCCTGAGGCCTGAACAAGAGAGAACAAACTCTAGTACCTTCAAGGTTTAAGGCTGGGGTAAAAGCATACATGCATTCCTGATGGAAGTAGTCCGTGCACTTACTTATTAAGCCAGGGGTTACAATTAGGATCAATTCTCACCTTTGAGCAGTGCTGCGGGGACCAGCTAACCTGGAGGCAGGAGCAGAAATAAAATAACCTTTGAAGGTCTCTTTCAGCCCCAGGATTCCACCAGACTTTGCCATCCCCTTGTCTCTGAATTGCTGCTCTTAGAGGTGCTTCCTGTATTTGTGTAGCTGCAGTGGGAGATCCTGTCATTTTGCCTCAAAGAAGAAGTGGAGATGAAATGAAGGATAAAGTAAAAAGATCTTGATTCTTCAGATGTGGGAACTTGAGGATTTGGAGGAGTTCAGAGATGATTATGACTTCTCAGGAACCATTCACAGAACCATTCAGTGCCAGAAGGGTCCTTAGTGATCATATAGTTCAAATACCCCTTCCCTTCACCCCACACACATGTTCCATCCCCAGCCAGGTGAAAGGCAGTGTGGTAGAGTGGATGGAGTGATGGACCTGGAAAGAAATTGATTCAAAACCTGCGTAATACATTTATTTACTGTGTAACCATGGGCAAATTGTTTAACCTCTCAATCTCAATTTGTTCATCTGTAAAGTGAGTGTAATATTACCTATTTGGCAGGGCTATTGTGAGCAAAAATAATGAATGTAACGCATTTTTTTGTAAACCTTAAAGTACTATGTAAATGCAAGCTGTTATTATTTTATATTTGCCCCAGCATGTTCCAGCGGACTGATAGTAATTATGTTAGCAATAATAATAATAACACTAGTACAGTGTTTGGCATACAGGAGGCACTTAATATTTATTAACTGGTTAATTCCTAACAATACTAACAATGATAACAACCTGAATGTTACAAATATTGCCTTATTTTATCCTCACAACAAAGCCGGGAGGTAGGTGCTATTTTTATCCCTATTTTATAGATGAGGAAAGTGAAGTAGTTACAGGTTAACTGACTTACTCAGGGTCACACAGCTGATAAATATTTGAGGCTTGATTGGATGTCAGGTGTTCCTGACTCTGCACCCAGCACTCTATCCACTGTGCCACCTACTGACCTATTATCATTACTACACTCCTGCTACCAGCTAGCTTGCTAGCATTTGTTTATACAGGACTTTAAAGGTTTCCAAAGCACTTTAAAAATATAATCTCTTTTGATCCTCATAACCACTCTGGAATGTAAGTACATATAGTAACCCTGTTTTACAGAAGAAAAAACTGACTTGGAGGGAAAGAAAACTGTCTGGAATCAGAAGACCTGGGTTGAAATCCTGCCTTTGATGCATACTAACTTTGTGATACTGCGCGGTATTTAACCTGCCCACTTCTCAGGTTCCTTCATTGTCAAATGAGGGGGGTGAACTCAATGGCCTCTGAATTCCCTTCTAACTCTATATCTATGATCCTAAGGATAAGAGCCAAGGACTTGGACCCTCATCCTCTGACTCTAACTGCAGTGCTCTTTTTTTTTTATTATTATCTATAAAATCTCTCTTCTTTCCCCTGTCCCTTAGTCCAACATCCTTCCCCAGGTCCCATTCCCAAGTTTTGTGACTGTCCCCCATCTGCACCATGTGAACAAACCTGTCATTCTCCGGTCTGAGGAGGAGGGGCTACTACACATCAAAGCAGTCTGCACACGCAGGAGGAAGGTTCTCTGCCTCTCAATCTCTTCCCAGGCTATAGCCTGAGCCCTGGAGTCCCTTCCCCACAGCAGAGTCTTTTATTCCTCAAGCATTCATGCGGATTACGTTATAAATTCCAGGAAGGGGGGGGCATAGAAACTTAAGAATCTGATTCTCTCTGAGACAACAGTGACTGATATCAAGCTCAGTACTAAGAAGAGTTTGGACGGGAGGAGGGAAAGAGCGTGGTGAAATGGAGTGTCAGTAGTTGGGGTGAAGTCATTTATGTGTTAGGAGGAGGAAGACAGGTGTGTTATAAAATAACCCTGAATTTGGAGTCAAAAAACACTGAAGAGATTTTGGTTCAAATCCTGTCTCTGATGCTGAGCTGTTTGACCTTGGGTAAGGTAATCAACTACCTGGATTTCAATTTCTTCCTTTTCAATATTAAGATGATTGAACAATATGATTTCTGAAGTCCTTTGTAGTTTCAAAGCTCTGACAGCCCTGGGTTCAAACCTTGGCTCTGCTAATTACTACCTGCGTGATTTTGGGCAAATCATATAATCTCTCAGGGCTTCAGTTTCTTCACTTACAAAGTTTGGAAGTTCCCTCCTAGTTTAAACATTGTGGTTCTAAAAAGGCATAGAGCCAGCGGTGGGCATCACCAGCCATCCCGTCTTTTCCATCAGGCAAAGATCTAGCACCATTACAGAACCCATATGTGCAGGTCCTTTAAGTAGCTCACAACTCTCACACCATGACTCTTTAATCCACAAGGTAGTTCATGAAGTCAGGTTCTTTCTCCTCATCTTTTCCCTGGAATAAAGGCTTATATCTTCTCTATTTCTCTTACTTTAGGGCAATTTTCTTTCATGATTCCTAGCCCCCAATCTCCCACTCCCCCTCAACATCTCTCTGTAGAGAGTGACCTTTAAACAAACACCCTGTCATCCACCTTCCTCCTTACTTTTTAAAACCAGAGCAACCCCTCCCTGTGTTTCTACCAGCTTTTTATCCTATAGCTCCCACCTCAGCTATCAACCCAGTCTAACTGCAGCTGCTTTATTCCTCCTCTCGCTGTTCCCTTGGACCATACCAGACTGGTACACATGAGACACTGCTCTCTCCCATGCATGGCTACTGTGATAAATGCAAATCCAATCCTGGCCTCCTTTCAGTTACTCCTGGAGCCCCTTTCCATTTGGGATACCGAAAGCTTTCAGTGTCCTATCTCTGCCCTCTGCTACCAACCAGGGCTTGCCTACTCACCAAGAAAACAGCACACACCAGCCATTCATGAGGAGAGGAATCTGGTTGACCATGTCTGTCTCCAGCTTTCTTATGACATTGCCAAAAAATCCTCATGGGGTTTGGGAAGAGGAGGGATATTGCTAAAAATACTGTGTGTGATGTATGTGTTCCCAGATGACTTTGAAGACAGAAAAATACATTTCTATGCTAGTCTGTTTTTTGCACTCAGTAAACTGTCGGTCTCTTTTAACCCACAGAATTAAAGACAACCTCTTCACAGTGGCTCTTTAATGTTTGAATTCAGCCTTGGAATTCATTCGTTCAACTAAACAAAAAACTAAAGAAACAAACAACATATCTTTATTGAACACCTACTGTATTCACAACCTTGCTTGGCACTGTGGCAGATTAAAAAAAAAAAAGACAAATTCCCTGCTTTCCTGAAGCTGAGAGTCTCACCAGAAACCAAGTGCAGAAACACTTGAAAAGTCAGAGGCAGTTGATGAGAAATTACGATAATGAAGAGTGCCAAAGACAGGGAAATCCTTGAGAGTTATACTGGGAGAAATTACAAAAATTTTTAACAGATGTGGAGCCTTTTCTCACATAATCCCCCACTGACCCATTCTTGAAGCAAGAGAAAAAATGGGACAATAAGATTATTATCTCCATTTCACAGGTGAGGGAGAGGTTGATGAGGTGAAATGAAGAATAAAGTTATTTGGTGACAAATTTGGGATTAAAGCCAAGTCCCTGGTACTCAGTGTCCTCTCTTCAGTCATCAGAGCAGGCCTACTTAGCAGCACAATACAGCAGATTTTCAGTTAGAGAGAAGGTAACTCAGAGGCTCTCTAGTCTAATGCCTGAACTAAAATGTTTTCTACAATATTTCTGAGACTTTGACCAAACTGAATTTCTTACTTTCCCCCCTTCTATTTCCTTCCCCTACAACACATACATATACACATATACAACATATTCCCATATCTGTTATGTGGCTATGATTTTTCCTGTCTGATATGCCTACCTTGTCTGCTTCATCCTTCCCTCACCAATTCTACTGATCCTTCAATACCCAAGCCAGTTCCTACCTCCTCTCTGAAGTCTTCCTTGACAGTTCTATCCCAAATTGCTCTCTCTTCTTGATCTACCACATCACATTGTTGGTATACCATTGCTATGGATACCTGGTCATAGTCAATCTATCCTTTTATGGTATATTATGCTGAACTGTTCTCCATCCCCCTCCCCCCCTCACATAAATGTGTGCCCTGTGATCCTTGCCCTCTTTTCTTTTTGAATTGTTGATCCCTAGAGATAGGGGGGAGAGAAAGACAGAGAGACATATAGAGACACAGAGACATTGAGACAGAGACACACAGAGATATATTGAGACAGGAATAGGCTCAGAGACAGAGATAGAAAGACAGAAACAGTCAAAGAGATAGAGACAGAGATAGGCAGAAAGAGCCAGAGTGAGCAAGAGACAGAGAGATGGGTGCTGGAATAAATTTGAAAAAAATATTTCTAATGTTTTGGGCTCATGAAGGGAAAATTATCTGTCTTCTCTCACTGGGTTTCCAGGTGAATTGTCACTATAAAAAATAAGTCCCTAGATTGTAGAGAGGTAGATATAATCTATATGAGGTGGTATCCAAAATTAGCTTTCCCTCTTGCTTCCATCATCCATGGATTCAGATTTTGTGGCTAATAGGGGAGCCACAAGAAAAATAGCTGGTGATTAGGAACATAAGGGGAAGGGAAAATATCAGAACCAGGACTGACCTGAAGATAAAGCCCCTGGAGGATAAAGCTGAAGGCCAACTGTGAGAATGTCATGAATCCTTAGCCTGAAATGATCTCAGAGACTAGGAGAAGATGCTAAGCAATGGTGAATCCCATTAGATCCATAAGCTGGGGGAGATTGGGGGTAGGACTGATTTCTCCCACAGTATTTTCCATTTGTTTCTAATTGGTGCAGCTAACTCTTTTTACTCCTTTCCCACAACCATGGTTTCATGTGATTGAGACTCCGATCTTCTCCCTGTTCCATTCCCTCCACCCCATCACACACACACACACACACACACACATACACACACATCCCAGAAAATCTTGAAAGAGAGGGGGTAGAGAGAAAGGAGGTCACTGAAGGCATGCAACTTCATATAGAAATGAGAAATCCATCTGCTTTCCATTTCAACTTATGTACAATAAACTATGAGATCACATTTGAAGGGTCTGAGTCCTGTGAAGGAAGGAATGCACCAGCAGAGAAACAAGAATTAATACAGAATGTGGGCTCTTGAGCTGAATTCAAACTTGTTGGTTTTATATTTTCATATTTTGAGCAATATTACATTTCGTCTGTTAGATAGATTTTGAACTTGACCAGTGAGTGTTAGTTCAAACTGCTTAACACTGCTACTAAAGCATGGACTTGTAGTGGTAGGATCAGTTCTAGGTATTTACAGACTGACAACCAACTGTTGGGGCAGTAGTAATATTGCAGCCTTTAGGAAGACACATTCACTAAAGAGAAACTGACAGGCCCACTGGTGCTACAAGGAGAGTACAATCTAGTGGATAACTTGAATATGGATAATTATCATGATGACACTGTCTTCCTTTAGAATTAAGGAAGGCAGCACTCTGCACTATGACCTCATGGCCAAACATGGTCACAAGTATAACATCTTGCTCATACTATGAGTTTTTTGAAAGGAGTAAACATGCTATACATTTATATACATCAACAGGTGTTTCCTGAGCATCTACTATATGCCTATTGGAGCGAAGGTAGGGGACTCAAAAAGAAAGGATCACCCTAGTCATTATGTGCAGTGATACTTAATCCCAAACAGCTCACTGATACAAAAGCCAATGTGTTTGAAATGAATATTCTGGCATTGCATCATGGAACATTGTGATCTTGGAAGAACTGAAATGACAAATAACCCCAATGGAAAGATCCATACTTCATGACTAAGGTAGATCTCTGATCTTGCTATCATGAGCACTCTCTCCAGCTGTGTGTGAGATCATAGATCTATAAATGGAAGTGACCTCAGAAGCTATCCAACCCACCCTCTTATATTTACATATTAGGAAATGGAAGCCCAAGGTACTTAAGTGACATTTTCAAGATTGTAAAAATAGTATATATCATAAATTGAATTTGAACCCAGGTCCTCTGATTTTGTAATGCTTTTTAAATTCTAGGTGATTGAAATCCATGTCTTCCTATAGATGCTTTACATGGTTCTACCCAATGTGCTGGAAACTACTCTAGTTCTGTTGATATTGTGGATGCTACTGGACCATACAGTCTGTCCACTAGTTTTTTCTGGCACTTACTACATTGCTGGTCTGCCTTCTTTTCTAGTCATATCATCATGAAAATATTTTTTATAATGGTTCTCCTGTGTAATTCTTTGGTGGTAATAGGCTGTGGCCTATTTTGCCCACCATACACCTATCCATTGCTGTTTATGTGACTCTCAACTTTGTTTCTTTGGAGAAGATAGCATTTCATGACTTGTAGACATGTAGGACCAGTGAAAGAATATCAGCTAAAATTAAATATATTTTTCCTCAGAAGTGACATAAAGGATGATCGAGAGCAAAAATAAGGTCAGTTATGTACTGAGAATGAAAAACAACCCATAAAAACATTAGTGGATCACTATTTCTTTGAAGATACTAGAAGAATATGGCAAGTTCTGCTGCATTGGGTGGATCCTTGGAGGAGGAGCAATTATTATTTATGAAAAAAATCGGTAAAAATTTCATAGGATGAAAAGTCACTGAGGGATTAAAAAACTGTGACTCAATCTGCATTCAGAGTTCATCAATTTTCTCCCTAAAGGTGGCTAGCTGCCAGACCCACTTGAAGGACATCATATAGCAACCGTGGAAGAGCTGGCCCCAGGCCGACTGCTGAGCCACCTGAAGCACTTGACCCACCTGCTTCAGGACGTTCGACCCCCCCGGAGGCTCCCAGGCCCTTGCCACCCAAGCTTCCCTGGGGACCTCGAACATCCTTACCCTGCTGACTGGCCTGGAAAAAGCCGACTAAGACTTACTGAACCAGAAAAATCACTCCGCAGCTTCCCTTTCTTCACGATTTTGTCCACTCGCACCCTCCCCCTTACCCGGAATGCTAGTGGGATCTCCTCCAAAACACCTGAGGACCGGGGGTGGGGCACGGGTGTGTGTGGGCAGGTGGGTGGTGAAGGTGGGGTGGGGAGCCGAGGTGTTGGGCTGGGGCTTTGGGCGGCCGGCGAGAGGACATCGACAGGAAACATCGAGGCTCTGGAACGTGGTTAGGAGGTGAAGGAGGAGAAGGGAGTGGGGATAGGGGCCAGGGCCAGCCAGAGAACATCCACAGCGTTATTTCAAACGTCTGGGAAAGGGCAGGCAATGAAGGAGGCGACGGAGGCTCTGAGGGTGGGGCTGGGCTGGCTGAAAGCACTTGGCTTGCTTTCATTTTCTAACTCCCTATCCCACACCCTTCCAGGATCTGTCACCCAGGATTATCCTCTTTACCCTAGGGGGCCTGTTGGTTCTCTTTTGAGGGCATTGATCCCGTGAACCTGTCACAGATCTTCAATGGATAAAAGAGGACCAAGCTCCCTTACCAAGATGTGGCTCTCCAAGGGAGGTTGGCTTTCATAGGAAAATGGGAGTTTGACAGAGAACAGAAGGGGTGGGCTTGGGCTGGAAATGAGTAGAAGCTAAACTTAGAAAAGGCTTCTGGAAGAAGTTGGGGTTTTATTTTCTATTTTAATAGTTTTTTTTTCTTCAATTACATGTAAAGACAATTTTAAACATTCATTTTTTTTTAAATGTGGAGTTCAGCAATTGATATAGATTATGTATATTCAATCATGTAAAACATAGTTCCATGTTAGTCAAGTTGTGAAAGAAGAAACAGGTCAAGAGAAAAGAACCACCAAAAATGTGAAGAAAGTAAAAACAGTATGCTGTGATCAGCATTCAGACTTCATCAGTTCTTTCTGTGGGTGTGGATAGCGTTTTCCATCATGAGTAGTAGAAGTAGTTCTAAGAGAGAGAGAGAGAGAGAGAGAGATGGCATCAACTACATAGACCCAATAAGTGTATTCTGAGACCACTAAGATAATCAAGCACAGAATAACTGCCTCGCCACACTCCTTTCACTTACTGCAAAAAGTTCCTGTTTGACCTTGAACTCCGTGCTTTTGTCTTAGATAAAATCTTGGTTTCTAGATGTTCCAGGGTATAGAACACTTAGCCTGAAGCCAGGAAAACCTGTGTTCAGACACTTACTAATTTTCTGAATCTTGGTAAATCACTTCATTCTCAGTCTCCTCATCTTTAAAATGGGAATAACAATAGCACATATCTTTCAGTGTTGTTGTGAAGATAAAATTACATGATATTTGTAAACCTTAAAGCATTATATAATAATTGCTAACATTTGCATAATGCTTCCTAAGTGCCAGGCACTGGGCTAATTGATTTACAATTATTATCTCATTTGATCCTCACAGCAACCCTGGAAGGTAAGTATTATTATCATGCCAATTTTACAAATGAGAAAACTGAGTCAAACAGCAGTTAAGTGATTTACTCAGGATCATATAGCTAGTATCTGAGGGCAGATTTAAGCTCAGGTGTTAGTGATTCCAGACCCAGTGATCTATCACTGTAATACCTAGCTGCCCAAATAAATTATTATCCCTAGAGTATGTGTCCAAATCATCCCGTTTTGGGAGTGGAAAGGGCTTTGGTGCCCTCAAGACATGGGGCCTTTAAAGGACATGATTATGAATGTTTCCCTTTGGGGAAAGGTTTGAAAAGGATGTGGAGGAGAGGGTGGTATTAAAGTCTTGGAGACAGTTGGGCCCTTCTGGAGTAGTTTAGAACTGAGAGTATTCCCAGGATCCTATACTCTTACTTTCTCATACTTTCAATGAAAGTTTACAGTGACCCACCCCTAAATAATGAAGTTAGGAAGGAGACCACTTTTTCAGGGGTTAGGAGTGTTTCCTGGGACTTCTTCTCAGGGGGCTTTTGTAACAGCTCAGAAAGGTTTGGTGCCCTGCTCAGGGTATGGTGGCAA